CAAATGTCGTCATCTTTAAGTCCCGATCTGTGACCTGAGCTAAACACCCGATTCCAGGAGGCTTGGTTACGTCCTGTTCCCCTACCCCCCTGTTTAGTGCTTCGCTGTTCTGGGCTCTGTCTTTCTCATAGGTGCATTAATTTCTGCTTCCTTACCATCCGTCAGGCCTCTGCCACATCTCTGTCGTTTTTGCCCCAGTCCCTTGTTTGACCCAGCAATCTGAGTGCTGTTCTGTAGTCATGAGTTATGTCATTTGTTGAGATGCAATTTTGTGCCCGTTGTACTGATTGGGCCTAACCTCCAGCCGGGCCCCTGCCTGGCCCGAATGAGTAGTTAATCTTTTTTTTTTTTTTTTTAATGTGTAAAGCCTCCTTATCAATTATGTGCACCTGCAGGTCTCGGTGGAGTAAAATGCATACTCCCTCTCTTGTCCCCTGTGCAGGGGACCAAATCTGATGTCCCTGCCACCAAGGGCCCAAAGCCTTGATCTTTTCTTCACACAACTTGGTCTCCTGTAGCATCACGCAATTCCTGTTATTCTCGTGTATCCAAGACTTCAGACTTCTCTTCTTCCATCTTCCGTTCGTATCCCCTAAGCCCCTAATATTCCAGGACACCATTTTAAGTTTGTTCATCAACTCTTCCTGCTTCCGCCTAATCTTGGATGCGGGTTGCCACCTGTGTGTAACTGGAATGATGTTGCGATGCCCTATCCACGCCAGTTTCTCTAGAGGCCCGAGTTTTTCGTGATGCCTTTGACTTGTCTCATGTGCTGCCTCGAGAAGAGTTCGTTTCTGCCATCGTCTGCCAACCTGCAGTCAGTGCACTTGCTAAGAAGAAGGATAGGAGGCTATCTTCAGTCTGCAGTTTCTCATTGACACTTCTCAGGATACTCGCAGAAATGCCTGGCATGATTTTAATCAGGTCTAACTTTTCGACTGACAGTCTTGACAACTGGATCCATCTCACCCCAGCCTGTGTAAGTGAGCCTGCCAACTCCTGCGGAATACGAGCATCTAATAAAGGGAAATACAACTTAAAGTAGCTGTTTTCAGACTCTACAATGAGGCTCATCATCGTCGAGCGGGGGATTAATCTAATCGGGACATGTTGCCCGTAAAGAGACTTAGTGAGGTTGAGAATGTCCATGAGAGTAGGGGAGTGATCTATGTCAGACGACGGTAGTAGTGGCGAACCATCCGGTTGTGCCAGCGCAAAAAAACAGACTCCCTCATTTGACATCATACACAGGATTGGGACTACTCTTCTTTGTACCTTCTCCACTTGAGTGCTTTGTAGTGTGTCGGCTCTTTGGTCACGCAGTTGCTCGTCCATCCCCACTTCCATGTCGTCCTCTTTCTCAAATATTTTTTTGGCAGCGGAACTTTGCATTGAGGATCGGTCTCCATCCGACTGGGCAGCAGCCTGCTCATCCTCATACCACTCACTGCCCCACCTGACTCTGGACTGAGAGGAAGCCGAAGTTTTGGATAATTCCTCTTGTGGCTTGTTTGCCCTCTCGGCTCCTTCTGAGATCCGATTCCGATCGCCACCTGTCTCTTGCAGGAAACCTGATCTTGCCTGTAAATACCCCCCCCTGATGAAAGGGCACCTCAACCTCTCGGTCATCGTTCCGGCCTCGCTCCTCCTAACCGCCCTGATTCCTCCAGTTTCTCTCCTCCCTGCCTCCGCTGCCACCCTCTCTCCCCTGGTCCCTCCAATCACCGCTTGGGTTCCTTCTCCCTAATCGTGATGGTCCTAGGTCGTCCGAACGCCTGGATGGGCCGGACGTTATAGGATGCGCGTCCCTACCCTGAGGAACGAAGTCTCTCCAATTATATTGGTTGGAGGGGTATCTTGGGAGAGGGTGTGCTGGTGCTCGCCACTCATGCTGGTGCTGATGAACCTGTTCCAATCCTTGCATACGTGCGTCCTGCTGGCGAGCGGCCCAACGACCCTCCTGCCAATGCATCGATCCAGCTGCCAACAACTCCCTTTCGTCGATTTGTTCGCCCGCGTGCCAGTCTGCCTTCTGACCTGTCTGACAGACTGACCTCTCCCTCCAAAGTAGGATTCCATGCACTCCACCTGGGTGCTCAATAAAGTGTCGGTTGTACCCTCTCCCACCAAGCAAACCTTCCTCTGGACGAGGTTCGTTAGCAGCTTCATAGCGACTGTACAACGCCTGCGTGGAGGGCTGCCTCTGAGATGGTTGCCTCCATGGTACCTCCACCGCTGCGCCCATCCACCTAGGATTGCTCCCTTGCGGTCCCGGACTTCGATCTCTTTCTGCCGTCCCCTCCATACAGTGGCCACGCGCCCCCTCTAATCCCTTGCTCAACACGCGCAAAGCATTCCACCACGACTTGATCCACCCATCTCGGATTATGACCTTGTGACGCGTTCGTGTCGCGCTGATTCGTGTTCGGGCCAGGACCCTGGTGAGGTATAGTAGGTCTTTCCTCGATTACTTGGGTGGCTCCCGTTTGTCTAACTTGTCTCTGCTGATGTTGGGAGTATCGCGCCTTGTGGCCCCCTGTTCTTCAGCCTGAGAAGCCCAATCCTTTTCCTTGACGCACTCGTGGGCAGCTGTCTTCTGTGTGAAAATACCATCGACATCTTTTACACCAATCGGTGTACGGAGTGGCGATGTCCACCTTCCATCTTTCACCCGACGGAGCTTGGATAGTTATGTCGTCGTCCACTTTCTCTCTTGCCTCTGGGGCCATATCAAACTTGATATTCATCAGTTTCGGTCTTGAGCTATCAAATTATGGTGGATGCATCGTCCACACTTCCCCAAACATGCCTTGGACAGCACTATGACGGTAGTAATATGCGTCTAGGGGCACTCGCAACGCCATGATCCAGAATCTCGTCTCCGCCTCTTGGAGCCTAATTTCCTTCAGTTCTTGAAGAGGTAGCCAAGGTTTGAACGAGACGACGTATTCTTCTACCTCTTGGAGCTTGATCTTGAGTTCCTTCTGACGGAGTAGCCAGGTTGCGATTTCCTTCGATCTCGCGACATAGGACACTACGTTTGCACCATCAAATTTTACCCTTCCTCTCTCCGCTGCCGGACCGAACAGTTTTTTGACAAACCGACCGTCCTCATACGCTCTGATTATATTTTTTTTGACTTGTCTTGAGAGATTTCGCGCTTTTCCTCGGAACGAAACAATTACAGTATGGTCCTTCAACCATGCTTCTTTGACTGCGTTGACTTGACCATTAACAACAAAGTGTTTCCCCTCCCTATCCTCTATTACCTCCCCCAACGCCACATCGTTCAGACAGATTCCCTGCACATAACACTTTTCTACTGAAATTTTTAATCTATCCTCCATGTCTGCGTTCGCCGATGGATTAGGAGGGTCGCCCCTCCTGTGTATATCTTGATTCGCCATCACCTTCGATCAAGGGCTGCCGCAGGTATTTTGACGATGATGATAAAGTAGTTGTGAGGAGGCAGCGTCTGCTCGTTGTCGCTACCGTAGCCTGCGAGGAAAACCGAAAAGGGGGCAATCGCCACCTGGAAACACGGGAAACTGGAAGCACGCTATCGCCCTCGAAAATTACGATGCATCCCTCCTGGCCCGGGGCTATCCCATTTTAGTGAGATCTGTTGAACACTTATCTCTTGTACAAGCCACACCATCCACGGGGCAGTCCTACACTAACCTATCCTACAGGACTACCTGAGCGAACCATGTTCTTCGTCCGTGAAGAAGAGACGCCCGCTCCCCGTCGTGATGGCGGGGTTCGCGGCCAGGTAGCGCCGACGACCAGCGTGCGGCGACGGTCCGGAACGGAGCGCTACGCTAATCGCCCGCACCGGCCGCTTAAATATTCAGATCTTTTCTCCAATTATTCTGCGTATGAAAAATCGCCAAAGTTGGCGCTCGAAAATTGCAAGATTGGACCCGCCTGCGCCTTCCAGTCGGTGGCCCCCCTAAAAACCCGCCCTAACTCAGCGGAATGCCAATTTTCAGGACCCGGCCTCCCCGACCTCCTGCGGGCAGCTACCGGTCCTCCAACAGCGAAAACTGCCTATTTCCCACGAATTGGACCCCCAGCAAATACACCACCCTTCCAACTACCGCACCGTTTGGTGACGACGACGAAATGTCTCAGGGGGCTCAGGGGGGGAAAACGCAACCCTGACGGGCGGCGAACACCTCTCCCATCTCCTGAACGAGGACTTGTGGCCATGTCTGCCCATCCATTGAAAAGGCATCCTCTGTGTTCCTGATTCCGGAGGTTGTACCGACCACAGTTTGTCAACTATTCTTTGGGTGACCTGAATGGCAGATTTGGCCACACTCTTCCAATAGATCTCATCCCGGCTTTTGAAAGAGTTGACCGTGTGCTGGAGGGCCTCATTTCTGATGACAATTATAGGCATACGGGGAACCCCATAGAAGCCAGAACAGTGTTCACGAGAGAACATGCGGGGGCTGCTCCTGACCTGCAGGTGGGCTATACCGGCTAGGGGAAGGGGACAGCCCGTAGCATCAGGGAAGATGCCAACAGGACCAATCCCTGTGCCTCCCCTCAGGTGGTGGTCCCCCCCCCCCCTACGAACATCAGCAGACGCTGCTCAATGCCGATCACCCCTAACCGAATAACTGCTTTCTAAGGCCAACACTCTCCCACACACCACACACCACACGTAACCCACTCACACTCACACCCCTGTTGGGTATCACTGAATTAAAAAAAAAACAAAAATTGTGAAGAAACGGTACGCCACGTCCAAGCTGTACACGTGGACACCTGAGGTCGGCACTCTGTGGGCTTGCCTCCGCTACTTCCCACATGCGCACAGACAAAAAAAATGGCCGTGCATTGTTCCAAGTTTTAGCGGGAGATTCATTCTCATTTTGCACATTTGGAAAGTAGTGGAGCGAGGCCCTATGGCCGACGATCGAGGGTATACTCACACTACGTTATTCCCCCGCGCATAACTCCCTACCATCATGAACATGAATGCAGACGGACTCTACGGGCCTCGCTGCACTACTCTCGAAATGTGCAAAACGAGAGTGAATCTTTGCTTGAAACATGGCGAGATACGCCCCCATGATTTTTGTCTTTTGTGCATGTCGAGAGTAGTTCAGCGATGCCCTATGCTTGTCAGATGCAGCAATGATAATTAGGGAATAAAAAAACAAAAGCGAAACGGAACGATGCAGGGATGATTAGCTTGGGTCCTGTGCAAGCAGAACAGGAAAACGTTTTGCCAATAGCGCGATGAACAAAAAATTGAGAGCATTTTTTTTTTTTGCGGAGAACCTTTTTGTTTTTCAGACAAAGGGGAAAACAAACTGGTTGGAAGATGGAACAGCTCCTTCTGCCTGTGGAAAAGAAAAGATTCTGAGGTATGGTGATGAATCGTCTCGGTCCCTTTTCTCTTTTGTTTTTCTTTCCTTTTTCGTTTTCTTGCCGTGTTTGTGTTTTAGTCTTCTTTGAGCAGAGCGCGCACGATTATGTTATGCCCCCCCAAAACTTTCTTGCGGCCTATCTCGTAAGTGATCAGAGGGAGAGAAGACGACAACGAAAAAAGAAGAAGAAGAAGAACAAGAAGAAGAAGAAGGAGGAGGAAACATCATCCATAATGCTGTGTTTATGCCAAACGTATGATTCGTTACTTAGGAACAAAAAGGAGACCAGGAAGAAGAAGAGGTAGTAGTATATGGAGGAGGAAGAAGAGGAAGAAGAAGGAGGAGGAGGAGGAGAAGAAGAAGGTTAACAAGAAGAGTGAAACGTATGATTCGCTAGTGAGCAACACAAAGAATACAAGCAGGAGGAAGAGGTAGTAGGAGCTTCTTTTTTAGTACTAGTTGAACGAAGAAGAAGAAGGAAGAAGGAAGAAGAAGAAGAAGAAGAAGAAGAAGAAGAAGAAGAAGTGAAACGTATGATTCGTTACTGAGCAACAAAAAGGAGACAAGGAAGAAGAAGAGGTAGTAGTAGTTGGAGGAGGAAGAAGACGGAGAAGGAGAAGAAGAAGAAGAAGAAGAAGAAGAAGAAGAAGAGGGAAAAAAAGGGGGCAACTGGTTTTCCCATCCGCAATGAAGGTAAGCAATATAACGCCGCGTAGACATGTATCAGCAACACGGCACATTCCCCGAGGCGCGTTTTGATCGGCTGCGCTCGGATCGTCCTCAGGGGGCATTCAGCAGTACTATGCCTTGCGGCCCACCAACCTATCCATCAACCCGTCTTAGCGTGGAGGGCCCGAGACGACCTTGCCCTCCTCATACATTCTACGCTTGTCCAACGTTTACAGAAGAAGAAGAAAAAGAAGAAGAACAAGAAAAGAAGGCAAAAGAGCAGCAGCAGCAGCAGCAGCAGCAGCAGCAGCAATAGAAGAAGAAGAAGAAGAAGGTGGGAGACGAAGAAGAAGAAGAAGAAGGAGAAGAAGGAGAAGAAGGAGAAGGAAGGAGAAGGAGGGAGAAGGAGGAGGAGAAGAAGAAGGAGAAGGAGAAGAAGAAGGAGAAGAAGAAGAAGAAGAAGAAGAAGAAGAAGATGAGGGGAGACCAGGGAGAAGTAGCAGCAGCAGCAGCAGCAGCAGCAGCAGCAGAAGAAGAAGAAGAAGAAGAAGAAGAAGAAGAAGAAGAAGAAGAAGAAGAAGGTGGGAGACGAAGAAGAAGAAGAAGAAGGAGAAGAAGGAGAAGGAAGGAGGAGGGAGAAGGAGGAGGAGAAGAAGAAGAAGAAGAGGGGAGACCAGGGGGAAGTAGTAGCAGCAGCAGCAGCAGCAGCAGAAGAAGAAGAAGAAGAAGAAGAAGAAGAAGAAGAAGAAGAAGTTGAAGAAGAATAGTGAAGAGTACCGTCTTTTGGGCCGTGTTCATGCCAGAGGTGAAATTCGTTGGTGAGAGAGAAGAGGGAAGAAAAGGAAATAAAGAACGACTTGAGGTACAAAGAACGGGAAAAGGAGGAGAAAGGGGATGAGTTGGTGGAGACACACAAAGTATTCTGGCGTTGACCATGTTGTGATAGCTAATGCTATATTTTCAGGAAACAAGCGCGCTATGTGTTGATCCATGATGAGTCACCTGGATACAAAAATCTGCCGAATGCGAACAATCATGTCAAGGCCTATATCTCCTTCCCCTCTATCCCCCCTCCGCTTCTCCTTTTGTCTCTCTAGTATACTACAGTAAGATAACAATCCTCATTAAACAGTCTGTACCTGATCATCAGATGTTTTGGACTGTTGAAGACGAGAAACTTTCTTGCCAGTTACATGCATATTGTTGCTATTTGTGTGATTGAAAAGAGAGAGAGAGAGAGAGAGAGAGAGAGAGAGAGAGAGAGAGAGAGAGAGAGAGAGAGAGAGAGAGAGAGAGAGAGAGAGAGGCAATTGGAAATGAAAA